ATACGCCAACTGACCCAATTTTTGGGCAACAAAGGCGCTATTCACTCATGTCCCCCTGCTCTCAAGGCTCCACCGGCTCCTGTGCCACGCACAAACGCTTGCAGTGTCACTCAACAATGCCTTCTGCGCCCTCCTCGGCTATCTGCGGTTTTACCTCGGCATACACCTTTTCGCGGAACTCCTCAGGTGCGCCTGTATCATTCCTGCCTGCCGCTCGCGATCCATCAGGCGACGCGCGGCTGCCCTGGGGTTGGTCGTCGTCCTCGCTTTCTACGACAACATGTGTGGTCGTACCCTTTATAATAGCGGTTTTCCCCTGGCTTTCAGGGCTCTCTACTTCAAACTGCCGCACTTTGCTCGTGTTCAACGGGCCACTTTGCAGCGTCAGCTGTGTGCCGCCCGTCTCCTCCGTGCCTTTCAATATGCTCTCGGAAGTGGACTCGTCTTTAGGCGATTTCCACGCTTTTTCTGACAACAGGCAATCCGCTCGTGCTGGCAGTCGGTCAGTTAATGTGAAAAGCATGAGAACCGTCCCCTTTAGGTCAGTGCTCACGCCGCTTTCACTAGACATCGTGAACGGGACCACCGCGAGCTTCGCCTTCACTGTACAACCAAACGCACATGTTAAAAGGACACTAAAGTCAACTATTCAGTCGACGTTGATTGTTGAAATCGTGGTTCAGAAACCTCGTGGTGTTACTTTTGTGCCAAGGAAAGGCGTATTTTGAAATAAAATCACCTTTTAGTGGTCAGCATCGCGTTAGCGCACTTCAAGTTACCCGCCTCAAGAAGCGGACCGACTGGTCAGTCTCACGTCACTGTAGCCGTGCACAATGTTGCCCGGCTTTACTGCGCTAGCAGCAGCATACCGAAAGCAGTGGGAGCCACAGCAGCAAAAACGACCATCGATCAATTTCCCTCCATTGACTCCGATTGATTGATGATTGATTGATATGTGGGGTTTAACGTCCCAAAACCACCATATGGTTATGAGAAACGCCGTAGTGAAGGGCTCCGAAAATTTCGACCCCCTCCATTGACTCCGAGAGTGCAGATGCTTTTGTTTCAACTGTACCCCACTAGATGGCACCACCTGTCCTGTGTAACCACGCGAAAATTGAATTTTCGAACCACTCACGCCATTCCTCATAGTAACATCTGGTGGTTCTTTTTTCCATGAATCAAACAGAAACAAACAAGCAGCATTTTATTGCGCCTCTTGATGCCCGCAAAGTTCTTTATTTATTGCAGTTAGATCGATTACTAGTGATTAATTGTAGGCGGTCCGTCTTAAGTCATCGGGATCATTTTGAAAGTGTCCTACTGTGGCCCTTGTGTTCTTGTGCATTTACCTTAATTTCTTGGTAAGTAGGGCACTGTTGTTGATAATATTGTCGTTTTAGGTGTTGTCATACATTGAGCGTTCACTCTGACGTAAATTGTTATTTGACTTTAGTGTCCCTTTAAGTTAATAGTGCCTTGCGGCTTCACCATCTCCGGTGGGATAGCGCTCTCCCTCAACACGGTGATATCCACCCCCATGTTCAAAACCGCTCCGATTAACTATCCTTACAGTCGAGTGACACGGCGATAAGGTCCCCGTGCGCTACCACCGGCTCCCCCATCATAACATGCACCACTAAACTCTCGCTCTCAGCGCCCGGAACCCCTTCAGTCAGCTGTTTCTGACGCTGAGGGCAATTTCATTTTCGGTTCCCTATGCTACCGCAACTGTAGCATGCCCTGGACTTACGTTTTCGCTCCGCGCCTAGGCTTTCTCCGGCACAGCGGCTCTTCGTGGTTTCATTTTAAGCTCTAGCCTTGCTCGGGTCTTGTGAATCCGCCGGCTTTTGATTCGCCTGTCTTGCCGCACTGTTCGACCCCTGCGCTTCCTCAAACGTTTGCAGCAACGCGGATGTCTCTGGGGCGCTCATCCACGTTCTCCCTTCATGGAGTGTCACATACCGCACGGCCTCCTCCGACAAATTTTTCTTCAATTGGTCGGCAACCAAAAAGCTTAACCAGGCCCTCGAATGTCGACACCCGCCTTGCCTCAAGGTAAAAGGGGAGGTAGCTCTCTAAACGTGTCGAAAAAGGTCTCCACCCTTCGTTCGCACGCTTCCCTGACCTTAAGAATCTTCTTAGAAACTGCCCTGCCGAAAGTTTGAGCTCGTCAAGCACCGTTTGCTTGATTATCTAGTAATCTTTATGCTCTGTTGGGCTTAGCAGCGTGGACGAAAATGGGACTCTTTCCGCTACCAACGAGAAAACCAAACATACCCAAAACTCCCCCAGTACCTCGTACGCTTCTAGGGCACTTTCCACGGACTGAAACCACACCAGTGCTTCAGCCTCGGCTGAAAATTTGGAAGCACCCCTGTGAGGACATTCGAATAGCGTCTCAGCTCGCTACATGGATCCCGCCTGCTGATCTCAGATCCACTCAACCAAGAGCTTCCACTCATCATCTGCGACAGTTTCTCCATCTCCAACCACAACTCCTGCAGTCGACGCTCCAGCGTGAGATTTCCGAAACGATCATCTCTCTGGCTATCTCACACACTACCCTCTTCCGGGCTTGCCGCATCGCTCTCGTCGCCCGACTCACGACTCATGGCCTACGCTCGCCTGTCCAGGTTTAAGTGGGTAAACCTCGTGTCCATAGGACGCCTTAAAACTCACGAAAGGCAGCAGCACCCCTGAGATGTAAGAACACCAGAGGACTCACCACTTGTGAAGCTGCTGCTCGCTGCCCTCTCGCCTTGCCTGCTGTCAGCTGCTCGACATCACCCGATGTCACCTGAGTTGTCACTGGATCGGTGAATTGGGATGACCGCTGCTGGACCGTTGACTTCCTCGGGTCGATGGCTGCCGCACTGTCGCCTCCTCAGCTCGGTGGCTTGCTTCTTCGTTGGAAAAGCCGATATCTTGGCTTCCGTCTTGCGTGTCCTCCGCAACACGACGAACTCCTTGGCATGCAGAGCGCTCCTTGTCGTCGTTGTCTCAATCTTATCTGACCGCGCCAGCAAAAACTCAACCTTCTACCCACTCCCACTGTTCCCTTGAGCAGAGCTCTCTCAGCTGCGTAGCTGCTATTGCTATAGAAGGGAGTAGAAGGTTGGTTGCATGGTGTCCATCTTGTCTTGTCGTGGCTGCTGCTGCTTGTGCAGGATAGAGACCAGCGCCTTTCGTTACGTTGCAACAACATGACTTTATGTACAGGAACTTACGTACAAATTTACAAGACTGCGCCACAGCTGGGACCGTCGCATGTTGCTTCGGCAGAGCCGATAGTGCAAAGCACTCTTTGCTGCAACCAGAACGACTGTGAGGAAACGGTAGCCAGATTTTAACCCCTCGGTTGCCCCTCCCGATTCTCCTCATGGCCAACCAAAACAATTCAGCCCGTTTATTGGACAGACTAAACACACTTGTTGCAGTCCTCTACTCTGGCTCTCTTATTCAAGCACTCGACCTCTCAGTCGTAGATAGAGAGACAAAAAGAACAGCCAGCACACGACCTTCCGGGAACTGTGCGAACGCACACGATGGTGGCGGCGTTCGGCTGCGGGCCCCTACCATAACTGCGAGGTGGCTACGCTGTCCAGCGTGACAGCCGTCTCGAAGACAAAAACTAAGATGGATGGGTGTCGATACACCAGATGTTTTCCCGTCGCCTGCCGGCACTCCACTGGCCGCCGACCACCTAGCTGGTTGTTAAAAGCGGCGACCGATCGTGGTTTTATTACTAGAATGGGCGTCCTTATGCCGGCATTATGATTTCCCGAGAACCAGCTCCTTGGAACGCGCACTCTTTTGTGACAAAGAAGACTGACCCCCCTTGCCTTCGACGCCAGACCTTACAAAAGTCTTCCGCATCGCCTGCTGTGTGTATGTTCAGCGTCACGCTCTTATGTCACAAAATAGTATATCACTAAAAGAAAAGGGGTAAATATAAAAATTCTGAATACTAATTGAATACACTGCATCAAACATTGAATAAATACATACAGAAGCATTCAACAGTAAGCTTCTGAATTTTAGCATGCTGAAACGTTGAAGTTAGGGAACAGCACTAAAGGTGAATTCAAGAGCTCGTCTAATCCTCAGGAATTCTGACTAATCAACAATTCTCACTGTCTGGCTAAGCCAACCTGCGAATTATTACATAGCATCAAACACCCTCTAAGTCAGATGAATTTGATCATACACTATTTGTCAGTCAGCATATTTACTAGGATCAGCAATGCAGATAGCACTGCATAAGTAATAGCTAATGAACAAGACAAAAGCTGCAAATTAACTGAGGAGGACTGAGGGGTAAAGTGTGTCACAACGCCGATTTAAAACACGTGCCCTTTGTAACCTACAGGCTCATTTTCCTGCAACGCTCAGCCCTTCGGTCGCTCGCTTTCCTACATGTGGTGAATTCTGTAGTGACTGAAGCATGCTAATTTGAACAAAATCAGAAGCACATTCACAAATTAAGATAAACAGATACAAAGAACCACTCCTACACATGCAGCAATTTATTATGATTCTTTCAAATGTCACTCAATAATATGTATATTTGAAAATTGAAAACAGTATTTCTTTTTCACAAGAATAACGACCTAAATCTATTGTACCTCATCAGAACCAAAGGCTAGTGCTGCAAATATATGTTCATGCAAATGCATAATTACATGTTCTGATTGATATGTGGCGTTTAACGTCCCAAAGCCACCATATGATTATGAGAGACCCCGTAGTGGAGGGCTTCGGAAATTACGATCACTTGGGGTTCTTTAACGTGCACCCAAATCTGAGCACACAGGCCTACAACATTTCCGCCTCCATCGTGAATGCAGTTGTCGCAGCTGGGATTCGATCCCGTGACCAACGGGTCAGCAGCCGAGCACCTTAGCCACTACACCACCGCGGCGGGGCTGGTTACATTTTTTGACAAACCTTGGAAGCACTAGGAGACACATAAGAATCATATTAGCCAAGCTACTGACCTTGCTTCGTAATTCTTCGGAAGTAATTAACGATGCACTTCAGCTTCTCCATCTTCCGAGCTTCGTCGTAAGGTCCAGAAAATAACCTGAATGTAAAGAAGTAATTTTAAGTCTCCTACTGAAGTATGTGTGAGTGTCGTGTGCATGTGCGTGAGATGATAAATTTATGTATCAGCTTGAAGATACTGATCTATCAAGTTTAGTTCACAAGAAAAGAGATCCTAAATTTAGAACTACAAGCATAGGAATTTCTAAAGGAGCACTACAGAACTGCAGCTATTGCATCTCTGAAAGGCTCGCACTGTCATATGCATGGAAGAGTGTAACTTGGAAAAGTGCCGGTGTGTTTGCAAACACTGAGGACAGACTACTACGCACGCATAAATTTCACCCTGTGGAATAATAAAGCAACTCCCAACGACTGTCCTTTTACATCCTCACTACCCCTAAGAAATGAATTACACCAAAAGCTCTTTTACTCAGGGTACACAAAGTCTGGTACTTGAATACAATAGCCCAAAAGTCAGGACCAAAAAAATAGAAAACACAACGACGCTGTGTTTTCCAACCTACATTTCAAGTACTATGCATCTTAACAAACTCGGCCAGTCTGCCATCCCATTACACAAAGCCTTTTAAACAATGCCTAAACAACCGGGGACACCTTGAACCGGTTGAATGAACATGACATGTACAAAATGGTGCTAATATCACCCCTCATGAACACAGCAGCATTGCACGGGGTGAAAAAGCAACAAATAAAACACAAAAAATGCGTCTTATCTCTGGGCTTTTCCAGCACCCTCTTCAGACGTTGAGAGTTCAACCGAGTCAAACACGTGACGTCACTAGCGTAAAAGCTGTTGAATGATCTAGCTATGAGGGATGTCAGTTGTCTAGCATGCTCGCTCTTCACCGTCACTTGCATGCCTTGCATGCGCAATCATCTGATCTGACCGCCTGCAGCATGTTTGGCATGGCGTAAGTGGTGGAAACTACATGTAGCAAATTAAAAAATATATTTAATTCTCATGCAAGTTGATAGTGTTGTCATGAAAAAGTGTGCCAGCATGATGTTAGCAATTATGTAGTGTTAGGACATACTACAGAAGCATGCTGCAAGAAGAACAGTGCCTGCGAGAAGAGGAACAAAGGTGAGAAAGATCATTCCAATTGCCATCATGCTCAGAGTGATTACAAAATGCTAACTTCGAAACAGTATTATTTAGTTATTTATTTATATGCAACATATTGCAAGTCTTCAATCAAAGACTGGGTACATAGAATGTATCACGAAAATAAATAATTATGTATATTACATGTGATCAACGAAAAACTACAGAAAGCCAACATAGTAAAACATTATAAAACACACTGCAGTAATACATAGAAAAAAATGCAAAAATAGCAGCAGTAGACAAATGTCAGGTAAATACACCAGCTAATAAGAGATTCTGCTGCATAAAAGGACATATAAAGGAATGTGCGCTTGAAGAGACGAGTGCATGTAAAGAATGAGGTTACAATATTCTATGATTGATTGATTGATATGGGGGGTTTAACGTCCCAAAACCACTCTATGATTATGAGAGACGCCGTAGTGGAGGGCTCCGGAAATTTAGACCACCTGGGGTTCTTTAACGTGCACCCAAATCTGAGCACACGGGCCTACAACATTTCCGCCTCCATCGGAAATGCAGCCGCCGCAGCCGGGATTCGAACCCGCGCCCTGCGGGTCAGCAGCCGAGTACCTTAGCCACTAGACCACCGCGGCGGGGCTACAATATTCTATGACCGTATATTCTTGTTCGACTTAATAGCAGTTCTTGCATGAATGGCTAAGGGTAGCTGAGTGTGTTAATTTATTTAAGGCATGATACATTATTAGACGAAACATACCTATTATACGTGCCACAAGTTAAACGAGCAGCTTTTCTTTTGGTGACCCAAGTTCTTTTTGAATGTCTTTTTTAAAGGAAGATGCCACTCGGAGACACCTTTTTTTTAATATTCACCTTAGAGAAATTAAACTTGAGCTGTTCATATAACTTTTCATGCTGACTTTAAATATATAATTGGTTTTCTTGCAAGTTGCTTATTTAAACTTTGCTACATGACAAAGTGAAAACCTTAACTCTTTTGCCTCCCCCCCCTCTTTTCATCACTAAACTTCCATAATTTTTTACCGTTCATAGTATTTCAAATAAAGTTTAAAATGGAAGTAACTAATTAAGAAGCCCATACAATATATGTAATATACGTGAAAAAGTCCATATTTTTCGGACCCTAGTAAAGATTTACATAAAATTTTTATTATATGATTGAAATGTTAAAATTTAAACTAGATAATTTCATTCGTCATACTTTGAAAGAAATTTGGGCAAAGTTTCATGCTGATTGGAGCAACAAAATTATCCGAAAAAAGAGGGGCACATTAAAAAAAAAGCAAAATCTGTGTTTTGAAAACAAAAAGAGTTCTAAAGTTAAAATTAAATTTTTATTTATGAAAGATGTCATTAAATACGATGAAATCTGCATACAAAAGAGAACAATCCTTCTTCTAGTGGCCACTGCAGCTAAAATTCACCAGCACCATAGGTTTCTGCCTCACGGCTCTTTCGAGCTGACTCCTCACAGACATTTCGCGCTCAGAGAGGGCCATGAACTTGCCAAACTTTTTCCACTCTATCTGGCTGAGCCTTGTGCCGACTGCAAGCGGAGGAGAAGTTCAACAGGACTGCGAAATCTAAACTAAGTCCAGTGTCGAGGGACAGAACAGTGCCAATGCCATTTTGTGCCTGCACTTGTGCCCCGTACCGTCGTACATAACGACAATGTCGTCCCCACTAACTTCCCTCGCCTCGCAATATTGGCACTGACGTCATGCATTGCCGCATCATGGACTTTCCGGCTGATGGCAGTGAATGACTTTTGATGCATTAGCTTTTACAAGCCAACGAGTGCCGCAAATCGAACCAGCTGCTCGTAGCCCATTCTCACAGAGTGAGCCACCACAACAGCTTTCACGCACGAGCTACAGCTTTCTTCATCCATAACGAAGATAAACACACGAGAAAAGTGTTCAGGTACGCTGCTTGACAAGACATGGACCCCGCAAGCAGGCTTCACAACACATACAGGCGTGCAGCAGCTAATGGCGGTTTTCGATTCGTACCACGTGATTTAAAAGTCAGTCGCCGCGCTCGAAAAATGCGGCAAAAGTGTGCTTCCTTTTATTATTTCTTGCGCCGCATCAGTGTGGGAAACAGTTATTTGAAGAGTTACGCTCAACTTTTTGCCTTATGCAATCGACAATGGTGAGCGGCGGCGCATTGTCAGCGGAAAGGTGCTCAAAGGCTGCTCACTTTCAGCTTTTTAACAGCCACCTTGTGCTCTTTAGACACAATTTTAAAACATTTGTAGGCGAGTCTCGACATGGATTTTTTTTTTTTTTTCAGAACAGTAGAGATACTAATCGTATCAAAACAGGTGAAGATATAGAATCGGTAATTTTTAAGAAAACTCGCGTTTTTTGACTCGCATCTCCCCTTAAAAGGAGTCTTAACAGCCACATATTTCGGCTGAGGCTTCACAAATTTCGAGTGCACCGCCTTACCTACTCGGCCACGACTGCACTGAGAGGGAAAGTACAGGAATTCAGAGTTCAGCTTCAGAATAGATTCGAGGCACTAAATGAGATAACTGACGTTAGCATTGACGCAAAGAACGATAATCTGACTAGTATCATTCAGGAGTGCGCAATAAAAATCGGGAATACAGTCATTTTACAGGACACTGGCAAGCTATCCCAGGAGACGAAAAACTTCATTAAGAGACGTCAAACAATGAAAACATCAAATGCAACCAACAAAAAAGAACTGGCGGAGCTTTCGAAGTTAATCGATAGGCACAAGGTAGCCAACATAAGAAGGTATAGCATGGAGAGAATTGAGCACGCTGAAGCATAAAAGCTGTGAAGGCAAAAGTGTGCATAAGCAAAAATCAGATTGTATGGATTAAAGAGGTGGTGACATCAAGTTTTGAGGCTAAAACAAGCCACTCCTCGGTTTCCTCTGTATTCTAAGACACTACACACGAATGGTCGGACACAGCAAACAATTAGAACATATTTTAATTCATCTCCAAAGTGTACCTAAATGATCATTCTCCCGACCAAAGCCCATTGCAAGCGCGTCTAGAAGTGTCCTAGCTCTGTAGGATGGGCAACGAAAGTTGCAGTAACGTCACACCACTGTAGTGAGCGTAGGCATGCGTAGGTTTCCCCTTCAGGGGGCATAAAGGTTCATCGCAGCGCACTCTCTCCCTATTATGCCAATGCATGGATCTGACTTCACGCCCCCTATCTAGTATGTCAATGTGTGGGGCTGTGCTTGCACCCCTCCCCCCTCGTAAATGACTATGGGAGTGGCCGCCCAGCGTAGGCATGCGTAGGTTTCCCCTTCAGGGGGCATAAAGGTTCATCGCAGCGCACCCTCTCCCTATTATGCCAATGCATGGATCTGACTTCACGCCCCCTATCTAGTATGTCAATGTGTGGGGCTGTGCTTGCACCCCTCCCCCCTCGTAAATGACTATGGGAGTGGCCGCCCCCTTACCCCTCTCCCGTGTGCACGCCTATTGTAGTGAGGTCAGTGACTTTCAGTGACCTCCGCCACAAAGTACTGGCAAAGCATCGCAACCTCTACACGCTTGTTTCGCAGGTACTTGTGCAATACGTGTGTGAAAGAAAGCCAGCGAAAGCAGACGATAATCAGCACGACGTGCGTCACAGCCTTGTGTGGCCACGTGACCAAGCTACACCGCTATCTTACAGCCCAATTCGGCACCCAGAAACCAAAACCGAAAACTGTCCACACAGAAAAGGTGATATTTATTTATTTAGCATGTATTTATTATTTAGCATGTATTATTTATTCAGCATGTATTTAGCAAGGCCTGTTGTATGATGACAGAGAGAGTGAGAAAAACTGGCCACCCTGTATACGAAGTGTCTGATGATCACGAGGGTATTATAATCCTGGAAGAATGCCATCATCATCTTAATCCATAAAGGGACATCAAGGAC